GGGGGGCGGCCAACAAGAGCGGCCAGGCAGGACCTGCAGAAAGTCGCCCACCCTTACTATGCGGGTTGGCTGTAGTACCGCTGCACACTTCAAGAACAGATTCTGCAAGCGCGCTGGTCCCGAGAGGAACCCGCGTGGCTGTGCGGACCATCCCGCCGAGACCGTGCCTGGGCCCGGCTCCTCTTCGGATGATCGCGCCCTCCCCCCTCCGAGTCGGGTCGAGCCGCGCTCCCAGTGAAGGGGAGGGCGGCGCGCTGCTACCAGGCAGGCGGGCCCGCCCGGTGCTGCTACCAGGCAGGCGGGGTGCCCTCCCCCTTTCGGCAGCGGCAGGCTTCCCAGGTGGCCTCCAGGCGAGCACCGCTGCCCCAGGAGACTCGAGGACGGACGGGTCCTCCTCTCAGCACTTGCGAGGTCCATCTTTTTACGCCTCGAGGCCTTCTGGTTTGACTCCGCACCCCCACTTTTTCTACTTCTGCATGCTGCTCCTCCCACAACCGAGAGGGGGGGAACAACGGGTGGTCCCCTTACGCAATGCGCCCCTGCTGGGAGAGGGGATGGGCGCCGTGGCGCGGGAAAATATATACGGCTAATGACAACTGAAGGCTGCCTCTCATGCATCTTGCTCTCTGCGCTGTGGATGCGTGTCCTCAGGAAGTTGGACTCTCGAGCTTTACACTGGCGTCTGTTCTGTGCGATGTCCTTCCAGAGAACAGGGCCGAGGAGGAAGCGGCTCTGGATCAAGGCGCGCGTGCACGGCCGGAGGAGCACCAGGGACAGGAGGAGGCCAAGGAGCAGGAGAGCAGGAGGATGCACAGTGCGAGGTGGGCTCGAGCGGGAGCGGGAGGAGCTAGGCATGGACTGAGCTGGAGAGCGAAGAGAGCTCTTCGCTGGAAAATCGGGGATGGACAGAACCCCCTTTAGAAAAACGTGGTTTAATGAAAACGACCTGGGGCCCAAACCTGGCGGGCGCAAGCCTGGAAAATCACGGCCGCTGCGCCCTCTCGAGAATCGAAAACGGAAAATTCACGAATCAAAGTGTGTCAGGGTGGGGTTCTGTGCACCCCCGAGAAAACAAGCGGCACGTGTGGCGCGCACCAACTACGCAATCCCGTGATCGGTTGGTCACCCTCAGGGTCAGGGGGGGGGCACAGGATACAGCCAGACACCCTTCCCAAGTCAGACAAGTCGTTGAATCGACAAACTGTAAGTTATTTTGTTGGCGAATTTCTGCTAGCCTGTGTCACTCGACAGTTCTGGGTCCCCCAACTACAAGTACCCCTCGAACTACAGGTACCCCCCCCAAGACTACAGGTCCCCCCCCCCTGACTACAGGGACCCCCCCAGGACTACATCCACGCGTGCGCTGACGCGTGAACACGCGTTCCCCCCCAGACGGCAGGTCTCCCCCCGGACTACAGGTACCCTTCCCCTGGACTACAGGTACCCCGCCCCGGACTACTGGTACCCCTCCTGACTAAAGGTACCCCGCCCCCGGACTACAGGTACCCTCCTCGGACTACAGGTACCCCCAGAACGATTGAGTGAAATAGGGTATGGGCGGGGTTAGGGTCGTGATGATGGCCCCCGTGGTGCTGCTCTGGGACGAGCGTCAACTTTCAAACGCGGAAATGATTGGCTAGATGTTCTTGAGACTGAAATGCCGACGGAGCGACAACGCACAATAGCCATCACCGGGACAAGAGTCGGAGAGGAGAAATGAATTGTGCAGCGCGGGGGCGGGGCAAAGAAAAACAACACCCACCCTTTCTTAGAGGCCTCCTACCTGGGGTCAGAGTAGATGAGGTCAGAGGATAACGCCGCATCGCCAATGTATCATCGATGTATCGGCGACGTCGGCGATGCATCGGCAATCGGCGTGGGGAAACACGGGCCGGCATCGAGCCGCATCGCCGATGCATCGGCGATACGGCGCGATCCTCCCGACCCCATCTACTACGACCCCATCTAGGGGGCCTAGACTCCTGGCCTAAAATGGCCCTGGGGTGGCCAACCGGTAGCATGTTACAGTCTACGTGCGTGGTCTACCCGCCTGGCTGCCAGCGATCGCGCGGCAGCCTGGGCGCAAGTCGCCTTGCAGCCTGGCGGGGCTGCCGTCCGCTGCTGTGCAGTATTGCCTCGTCGTCGTCCTCCTCCTCCTCCTCTTCATCGTCGTCGTCCTCCTCTTCCTCCTCGTCCTCCTCCTCCTCCTCCTCCTCCTCCTCCTCCTCCTCCTCCTCCTCCTCCTCATCATCATCATCATCATCATCATCATCATCATCATCATCATCATCATCATCATCATCATCATCATCATCATCCTCATCCTCGAACGGAAGGGAGATCAGAAGGTACAGGAGGGGAGACGGCGACGACGACGACGACGCCCACGACGACGACGACGCCGACGCCGACGACGACGACGACGACGACGGCGACGGCGACGAAGACACCGACGACAACAACGACGACGGCAACCACGACGACGAGGAGTAGCCAGAAAACGAAGACGACGACGTCCACGACGACGACGACGACGACGACTACAGTCACGCTACTACTACTGTAGAGCACGCTTAAAATTATCTTAGCGAAAGACCCAACCATATGCAGTCAAGGGTACTGCAATTGTGAATATCTTCTTGGGGCCAAGAAGCGCTGCACTGGGTTGGGGGGAGCGCATGCGGGCGGTAGCACTGGGGCCGTCGGTGGAGCTCCCTGTGGGACTGCGAAACGCTGTGCTGGTGGGTGACATGTCAATGTGGGCGTGTGGGACGCATGCGGGCGGTCCCATTGGGGGCTTCGGTGGAACTCCCTATGGGGCCACGAAGCCCTGCACTGGGTGGGGAGGAACGCATGCGGGCGGTCGCATTGGGCCCGTCGGTGGAGCTCCCTATGGGGCCACGAAGCGCTGTACTGGGTGGGTGAAAATGCCAAATTGAATGTGTCGGACGCACGCGGGCGGTTCGCAGGGAATCGTCCAGTCCATTGCTCGCGCAAACATCCCACCCACCCACCCGCAACTTGGTTTGCAAAACCCATGCGGCGGCGATTGCGATGAGTGTTTGGTGTTGGCTGGTGCATCTCTGCGGCCGCGCTAGCCCGCGCATGCTCGCGCGCGCAGCGGCCAGCTAGTTTGGCGCGGCCGACGCGAACGCAGTGGCGCTGACCGCTCGGCACATCCCAACGGGCACTTCAGCGCGAGTCGGCGACTTGGGCGGGCGCGGTATCATGGCTACGTCGACGACGGTAGACACGAAGGTGATAGTAGCGATGCTGGCGACGATGCTGGCAGCGACGACGGGACAGCCAGTGACGGCGCCGATGCTGGTCACGCCGGCGACGATGACGGCGTCGTCGCGTCGGTGATGAAAGTTTTGGAGGGAGTTCGAAGTGCGCGCGCGGCAGACGCGCGAGACTGGCACGCAAGGTATTATTCAACACGGATCGTGCCCCCCCCCAGACGCGCGCAAGGGCGTTCGAACGAGTAACGAGTTCGACACACGCGCGCGCGAAGCCCGTTTGGTAGCATGTTCTGAACATGAAAGACCTATGGCTTTCTGAAGAATTCGCGCGCGCGCAATGTTTGTTGTTTTGAACATATGTGTTGCGAAACCCTGTATTGTTGCATATTTCTTTGAAAACTCGATTTTGAAATCCTTCCGAAACCGACGGTGCTTAAGGATTTCGGCATTGCGCGCGCGACGACACGCGCGTGTGCACTTCATCTATGTGTTGCAAAGGATTCTTGAAAAGGGCCACGAAACGCTGTACTGGGTGTGCGGGACTCATGCGGACGGTAGCACTGGGACCTTCGGTGGGGCTTCCTATGGGGCCACGAAGCGTGTGAGGGGTGGGCTGAAACGGGTGATGATGATGACGGTGATGGAGGAGGGATGAGGGGGAGGAGGAGGAGGAGGAGGAGAACGCTGAGACCGTTATTTCAAAACGAGGACCCAACACCACAGGATGGTTGGGAAACAACGGAAACCCTTGCTGGCCCTACAAGCGCCTGGGTGCACGAAGAGCGCTGGAGGAACAGTGACGGAAGGACCTGAGGTGTAGCGAACGCCTCCCGAACCCGACCCGCTCCTCGTTCCAGCGTCCGGACGGTGCTGCGACGACGACGGCGGCGGCGGCGGTGGCTGCGACCGCGGCGGCGGCGGCCGTGGCGGCGGCGACGGCGGCGAGCGGCGCCAACGACGAGCGCGTCGGCGTGGGCGGCGGCGAGGTCGGCGACGCGCTGCGGCGGGCTCGAGGGCGCGCGCGCGCGCCTAGGCTGCGTGGGCCATCGACTCGGGCGGCGTCCGCCCCGCGGACTCGGGCGCGGCCTGCGGCGCACGACTTCTGGCACGGCGCGCGGAGGACGAGGGGCCCGCGGTGATGTGACGTCGTCGCCACCGCCCCCGGCTTCGGTCTCTTGCGGCACCTCCGTCGCCCGTCGTCGTCGTCGTCGTCGTCGTCGTCGTGTTCGTCGTCGTCGTCGTCGTCGCTGTCGTCGTCGTCGTCGTCGTCGTCGTCGTCGTCGTCGTCGTGGTCGTCGTCGTCGCTGTCGTCGCTGTCATCGATGTCGCCGTCGTGTCGTCGCCGTCTCTGTCGCCGTCGCCGTTGTTGTACGTCGTCGTCGCCATCGCCCCCCCCCCCGCTCGTCACCCGAGTTCCCTCCCGCCTACGACTCATAGACGAAACTGTGCGGAGGCCCGCGCGGACTTTCTTGCCTGGATGGGCGCTGGACCCCGCTCCCTCGCGCGAGGAGCTCGCCAGGGGCAGCGGCGGGTGGTCCAGCGCCGACCCATCACATCCGAGCGGACCTCCGAAAGCTATGATCGTGGAGACTGTCATCATTCTTCGTCGTCTCGGCAACGACCACGGCGACGACGACGACGACGACGACGACGACAGCGACGACAGCGACGACGACAGCGACGACAGCGACGACGAACACGACGACGACGACGACGACGGCGGCGACGACCACGGCGGCGGGCCCGCTGCGCCCGGGCCTCGGGAGCTGCCGCTGGTCGCCCAGTGCGCGGCTTCTCCTTCCCCAGGATGGCCGCCAGCTTCTCCGTGACCTCGGCTCGGGCCGGGTCGGCGCGGCGAGGCGACCGCCACAGGCGGCGTCATCCGAACCCTGCCGAGGCAAAGGCCGATGCCACTCCTGGCCAGCGCGGCGACCCCCCCGCGCTGCCCGCGACGGCCCACGCGCAAGTGGCGCCATCCAGACCCTGCCCCCACCAACCATTGGTACTCCTGGATCGATAGGAAGCGGGGGCAAAGAAGGTTCGGAGTCCGCCTCGTGTTCGGCGAATTCCGAACCATACACATCGAGTTGGCCGAACTGTTGATCGGCGAGGGTCGGCTTCGGATCCCGCCGCTAGGCCAAAATCGATGTGAGGTGGGGCTAAAATTCGGATTCCGCCACGCGTTAGGCGAACTCCGAGCCCGCCCGCCCCACGTCGCGGGCAGGGCGTCGCTGGCTTTTCGCGAGCGCCGCGAGCTCACCCTTCATCGACCCTTGGTTATTCCCCCCGATCGGGGGCGTCAGTCGGGCCGTGCGAAGAGGGGGATAGCAAAGGGATGGTTTGAGAATCAGCTCGCGTAACTGATTTTCTCGGCGATTCCCAGCGCCACGAGGCGCCCATGTATCGAGGAATGGGCGCGGCGGCGGGGCCGAAACCAGCTGCATGCAGCAGATTTCGTAACCCCCCCTTTCCCTATCCCCCCCCCTTCGTCCGGCCCGAGTCAGACACATCGGCTCACGCAGCACGCTTCCCCGGAGCATTTCGGCGCCGGGAACAACCCATGGATCCAGGGAGGTGCTCGGCGGCGGGGCCGGAACCAGATGCGCGGAGCATCTCTTTTGCTTTCCCACTGCCCCGCCCTCCCCTTTCGCCCGACCTCATCGGCCCAGGCAGAACTGGGGCCCGGGAAGGGGCACGAGAACGACGACGGCGAGGGGGATCAAAAAGGTTGAAGAGGAGGAGGAAGAGGAGGAGGAGGAGGGGGAGGAGGAGGAGGACAAGCTAGGTGCGCTCGCGTCATATCTGACGTCCTACCCCTCCCTCCCATCCCTTACCATGGCGCTGATTTTCTCTATCCGCGGACGCGTGTCGTAGCGGACCTGTGGCTCCGCGCGCGCGTGCGTAGTGGGTGGTGGTGCACGTGCGTGCGTGCGTGCGTGTGTGCGTGGTTGTCGTGGTGGTGGTGGTGGTGGTGGTGGTGGTGGTGGTGGTGGTGGTGGTGGTGGTGGTGGTGGTGGTGGTGGTGGTGGTGGTGGTGGTGGTGGTGGTGGTGGTGGTGGTGGTGGTGCTGGTGGTGGTGGTGGTGTGGTGGTGTTGGTACTGGTGCTGGTGCTGGTGGTGGTTGTGGGTTGTGTGGTGGTGGTGGTGGTGGTGGTGGTGGTGGTGGTGGTGGTGGTGGTGCGGCGCGCGGTGGTGGCGGGCGGATGGGCGCGCGAGAAAAAGGCCCGAGCTGGGGCGAGAACGCCATCCTGAACGACGGAGGCCAAACACCGATCCGAAAATGAGGCCCACGCTGCAGCGGGAGCACGATTCGGAACGATTCGGGAGCAGAAATGAGGCCGGCGCCTCAACGAGAGCAGTATTTTGGGAAAAAATGACGCCGGCGCCTCAGCGAGAGTCGTTTCCCGGGATTTCCCGGGCATCCTGTGTGTAAAAAAACAGTACGCGGAGGGTGCGCGGCCATCACCCGGACGCCATCAGGGGAAGAGGGAGAGTATTTTCATATTGAGTAATTGTGGAGGAGGAGGAGGAGGAGGAGGAGGAGGAGAAGGAGGAGGAGGAGGAGGAGGAGGAGGAGAAAGAGGAGGAGGAGGAGGTGGAAGAGGAGGAGGACGAGGAGGAGGAGGAGGAGGGGCGCACGCCTCCGTCCATAAACCACGAGTCTGCGGCGGCGAGCGGCCCGCGAGCGGGCGCGCGCTCAATGGGGGGAGGGGCGGAAGGCCGCCAGCGAGCAAGAGCAACAGCAGCGGGAGGCAGGAAGAGGAGGGCGCTTGCCGACGAACGTCAGCACTTGCTCACATTTCACCCTCCGCACGACCACACCGCGGCACTTCGCGCGCGGGGGCGTCGACGCGGGGCCGCCCGCCAACGGAAGCGGCGATGGGCCGCGACAGCGGGCGGGGGGTGCGCTCGAGGTCGGGGGGGGCCGGAGTTCATGCCCCGCAAGGAGTGGCGCTTGCGCTCGCCACCCCCGCCTGCGTCTGGGGCGGGAGGCCCGCGGAGGGGCCCAGCTGCAACGCTGATCCCGCCCCCTGAGACAGGCGCGCGAAGCGTCTCGTCGACGGGCGCGGGGCGGCGAGGCGGAGGAACAATGGGGGCGGCCGAAATCTCTCGCGCGCGCCGTCGCTCGCCCCGACGACCTCGCCCCGCGCGGAAAAGGGCTGGACCCGGCAACGCACCGCGGCGCGTTTCGGCGGCGGCGCCGCGGAGCAGCAGGGGGGGGACGCGCGGGAGAAGGCGCGCAGCAGCAGCGCCGGCGACGCCAGCGGCAGCAGCACGGGGGCAGCACAGGGAACTCAAGTGCGAGGAAGCGCATAAACGAGGGGCCCCAACAGAGCACCACCCCGCAGGCGAGGGAGGCAGAAGCAGGGGCAGGGAAGGAGACGGACTTAAAGCAGGGCTTCGGACCCATGAAACCATGAAGCAATACGCCGCCGAACCCAATGCGCCCACGGCCAGGCCAGTGGATCGAAGACGCTGATGCAAGGGCCCGCAAGTGAGGCAAGGAGCAAAGTCCAGGACGAAACGGCAGGGCCAAAACGAGGAACCAGACAGAGCGCGCTGCCGAAAGCCAGGGTGCGCGACGCTACCCCGCGGATCACCTGGGGGCTGCAGACAGTCGGAGCGGCCCTCGCAACCATCGCTCCCCAGGAATACGCAGTGGCTACGGCCTGTTCGGCTAGCGCTACCCAGGCTAGAGCAATGCGACAATTTCAGGAGACGAAGGGATTCGAGATAGATACGAAGCTGGGCCAGGGCCCACCAACAAGAAGCTGCAACAAAAACAATGACCCAAGGACCCCAGGGTCAGGATCGCCCGCGGAACACTGAATCAACTTTCTTACATCGCCGGGCAAACGGCCTAAGACGAGCGAGAAGAACTTGTTGCGGGGAAGGGGGCAGCGCCAACGCGGCGGCTGGCATGGGTCGTCAGGAACGCATCGAGAGCAGCATCGGCAGCGACCTCGCGATCAAGCCCCCGCATAGGCCCCAGAGAGGGCGAGAGTCGAGAACCAAGACTCCTCGTCGAACAGAGCCCCTTCCATCGTCCTGGCAAATTCTGAACGCCCGGGGTCCGCGGGAAGGCTCGAGACTTGGGCGCTGGGCAGCGCGCGCAACAGCGACGGCCGCTCGGCCCCCCGCGCCGGCAACAGCGCCCCCCGCCCGCGCCACGATCACCGGCCGAAGTGCAAGCCCCCTAGAAAAGACCCTGGTAGCGCCGGCGGGAAGGCGGGCGCGCGCGGCCTTTCGAGAGCCCTGAGCCGCGGCAGAAGGCATAATGTCGCAAGCATCTCAACTTCCATGAGCCAGCGTCCGATACTTGTCCGCACGTGGAGCAGCGGGCTCATAGGCGCTCGAAGTCCTCGAAGATAACTGCGCGCCCTACACTGGGCCCCCCCCGCCGGTCGCCCAGTGCTCGTCGAGAAAATATCGCTAGCATCCTGACTAGCACATCCAACCATCAAGTTCTCCACGAAGGGGTTCGTTGCCGACTATGGCAGGCCCCAGCATCATACCCACCATGGATGAGCGACTCTAGATCGCGCAAAGCCCGATCATGCGCCTCGCACTTGGCCAAGAGACAATACTTCGTAGCCTCCAGCCCGCGAGTTCCAAAAATCACAACAGCCGCGAAGCTGGGCGAGCACGCAGTGAGTCCGCGCGCGCCCCGGCCCCGCTCATACAATCTGCACGGCCCCCCGATATTGCCAGGCCGCCTCATGAATGAAACGAACACTTGATGCCGATATTGAAAGGCCGACACGCAGCTTGAACGAAACAGCCGAATGGTAGTCGGCAGCCACTTGGACAAGGAGGAACAAGATGGCGCGCCCTGTGCCAAACGTGAATCACGACTTCGCGCCGCGCCGCCGCGTCAGCCGCTGGCCCGGCCCAGGCCCCGAGGCATGGCGCGCGGGCCCCGAGTCCGACCGAACGAAGACGACCCCAATTTCTCCGCGCGTGCCCGGAGAGACGCGCGCGAGACAATGCCCCGCGGGCGAGCGCGCCGCGCTGGCCAAGATTCGGCGAGAGACCGATGGCAGGAGAGCTGGCCCAAGAAAAGATACGCGGGCATGGTCATCGGAGACGGACCCCCCTGCCTGACTCCACGCAACGCTAGGGGCCTAATCCCAGCAGCCCCCGCGAAGTTAAACATTGTAACGCCGCGCAGATGCAGAGATATTGGGAACCCAATGAAGTTCTGCAAGGTGCCCATCGCGCATAGAGCCCGGACGATCCACGCCGAGAGGATCGACGGGGGCGCCGCCAAACAATCAGACATTCAAATGCAACATCTGCAAGACCCACGCATGAACAGAAAATGCCCCCGCTTCTCCACTGACCACATCGCACAGGACGTCGCAGACTGCAGCGCCCCATCGCCGATGCTCCATGGCCGCCCGAGGCGCTGCTTCACTCGGCTCGACGCAGACCGCGCCCGAGAGAACCTAGGCGCCCGCGTCGGAAAGAAAAGGGGGCCGGGTAGATCCTGTCAGCCCTGAGAAGCATGCGCCTTGATCCGCGGGCCGCTCCCCCGCCGGCACAACGGCCACTCACTCTGCCAGTCCAACAACCCTCTCGCCTGCGGCCTCGTCAACGCCGAGCAGCGCATCGGAAGCCTCGGGGGCGGCCCAACATCCGCGCGGCGCGCCATCGGGCCCGCGGGCAGACTGCAGCTTGAAACGAAAGCGATTTCGCGCTCGATCTGGCCGGGGCGCCAGAGGGGCTCGCAAGGGAGTTGGTCAACCGACTGCGCGCGAGACAGAATTGCAAACCAGCGCTGTTCATCATGGCGGGCACGGGCAATTGCAATTTCCCAGCGGGGGGCCAACGCGCGGGCCGCGTCGCCAGAGCTGGGGCAAGGTGGGCCTCGTTCGCCCAGAGCGCACCCCAGTCCAATCCGACGTCTCACGAGGGCCCGCCCCCCCTCTGGAGCCAGCGGCCGCATCTTCGCCTTGTTTCGAACCTGCTCTGCTCCGCCCCCTCCAACTCCCCCTCGAACCATCTGTTCTCCAAAGCAACGAGGAGAGAGCGCAGGCCGTCGGGGCCCGCGCAGACGCCGCGGCCACCATCAAATAAGGGGGAGGGGCGCCGCGTCATCGGGGCGCACGAACGACAAAATGCCGCTGCTGTCCCCTCCACCCACGGCGCGACATGCGCGCGGAATGGAGGCGCGCGACATCACGCGCTGCAGGTCGATTCTTTAGCGCCCGCCGAAACTCAACCACCGCCGCCCCGCAAAAAGCGCTCGCCTCCCGAGTGCGCTCTGAGGGGCCACCTTGGAAGGCCAGCCCCTCGAGCTGTTGCGACGCCGCCCCCCTGTGCGCCGCGCGTCGACTAACCCATGTCGGCACCGAGAACGGGCCTCCAGGTTTGGGGCAGGCGATGACCGCAGCAACGGGGACCAAAGAAGCCCGTCTGTAGGTCAGGGCCCCAGCAACACAAGCAGAGACAACCAACTCATTGACAGTGCCCGCCAGGAACGCGGTGTAGACCCTGTCGAACCGCGAAGAACCACGAACATCATTGGCGACTATGTCCCTGCGCGCGGGGCCAGGTTGGGAGATTTCACCCCAGGAGCGACAATGCACGTGGAAATCCTGGCGCTGCAACCTATCCCCAGGGCCAGACTGCCCCCGCCGCGCAAAACCTCCCGTCGCCCATCGGGGCGCAATTCCAATCGCCGGCCACGAAGACCACGCGGTGAGCTGCAGGGGGTACTGCGTCCAGAATTTTGTTTGACATAATTGATGCACGATAATGTGATCACATGTGTGGGGCATATGAACGATCGCAATCGCGAGGTCTCTCTCCTCGAGGACCTGGGCACCGATGCACGAGCGCGCCCCCCTCGACCACCTCCTTAGGAACCACGCGCGGAAACGCTGCAACGAAAGACTCATAGACAAATGTAACAACACCTCCACCTGCCCTGGTCTCCATAAACTGCCATATAAGGTGCCTGTGCGCATCTCGTCGGCTAGCGCGGCCAAGTCAGCCTTGGGCCCTGGACCCATGCGCTTCCTGAAAAACATGCAATCTGCTAGTTCTCCACCAACCTGCTGAAATCTTGAGCTCGCTTTGACAAGGCGGGGAAGATGCGACTTCGCCAGCAACACCATCCAGCAGGGGAGAAACTTGTGACGCCGTGCCAATTGAATTACACGCGTCACTGCTCACAAATAGTCGGGCCGCTTGAACGCATCGACGCAAAAGCCTCATAACTACTCCCGTCGGGACCCCTTTCTTCAGGACGGCTGTTTTACTCACCGAAAGGAACGAATCTCTGAGAAGCGGGCGCGCAAGCAAGGCCAGACCTGTTTTGCCCACCATCACGTTCACACTGCCAGCCGAGGTGCCACTATCGACAATCTATTTTTTCACAACACGAACTGGAATGACACCATTTTCACATAGATCGCACCCCCGAACCCCGTGGAACCGACACGCTCATGCCCGCAGATAGTCTGTACCAGTGCCTGCTTCATATTGACATCGTAGAAACACTTGCGAGAGGACTCGCGGAGGTCACAGCGGACGCGGAACTCAAGGTCCACTCCACCCTCAGCATCAGGACAAGCAAACAGTCCCTCAATCATACACTGAACACGGAACGTAGAAACCAACAGACTGCCCAGGAAACCGATAAACATCGTATTACTACAGTTGAAAGCCTTAACCTCGATGCTTGGGATATCATTGTCCAGCGCACACTTGTTCACGATAGGGGACACAGCCTGACGCACGGAAGAGGGTGACGGAATCCTAGGACCACCAGACGAGACTGGTTGCCGACATCACCGAATTAGATTCGACGCCGAACCTGCCATCTTAAGTGCCCACCGTCGTCAGGGCTTGCCTTCCAGCGATAGGGTGCGCGTGCCTCCGATCTGTGCTTCCCTCACCGCCGCGAGCTCCTGCTTCATCGTCTCAATGACAACCATGGAGGCGGAGGAGGAGACGGAGGAGGAGGAGGAGGAGGGAGAGGAGGAGGAGGAGGAGGAGGAGGAGGAGGAGGCCATCGACTCAACTCGAAGGCGCCAGGGGCCAGCGATTAGCTAGAAGCACGTGGAGGAGGACCATGGCGAGAACGACGAGGATCGAGGACGAATACGGCGAGGATCGAGGCAGGGGGAGGAGGGCGTGGACGAGGACGAAAACGACGAGGACGAAGACAATGAGGACCGAGGCAAAGGAGGAGCATGAGGAGGAGTGGCAGCGGCTCACGGCGGCCACAGCGGCAGGCGGGTGCAGCAGGGGGCGGCGGGGGGTGGGGGGGCACCTGCACAAGACTGGCCCGGCGAAGGCCAACGAATGACGCCGGGCCCTGCCAGCGCGATCTCTCTCTCTCTCTCTCTCGAGTCACCGGCAGCGACCGAGCAGCACACTGGTTCGCCACGCACGGGGGAGGCGGAGGGCCAGCAGCACGAGGAGCACGAGGGGCCGCGAGGAGCGACGAGGAGAGAAGACCCCGAGACCCACCCCAGCGCCCAGGCCTCCCCGGGCTCGGGGAACTTGCCGCTCGAGAGCTTGGAGTGCAGCACCTGCGGGGCCAGAAGCCCCAGAGAGCACGCAACGAAGGCATCCGAGGGCCTCCGAAAGGGCCTCTCGAGGGCGCCCGAGGCTGTACGAGCCGACGCCGATCCTGGCGGGGCAGGCCAGGATCGACCGGCGCATGCGGGCTCCTGGCCTGGTCAGCAACGAGCACGCACCGACCCTCCGCCCCAGGACCGGCCCTTTCCAGAGCTGGTGTCGGTGTGCTATCGAGACCTTCTTGCCAGGTGGAGACGTAGCAACGGAAACGAAGCTTATGATGTTCCAACCTACTTTAGCCTTGGTCACCAGGAAGAAGTTCGAGCACAAGGGAAATACCGAACTTGAGGGTTTTCACGTGTCAGGCCCTGGGAGGCGATGCTTGTTCGACACTGTTTCGATACTTTTCGGGGCGCTCGAAATTACTGCTGGGACGTGGTCCTTAAGCACGATGGGAGCAACATAAAACGAAGCATGCAGTTTGCTCCAGGTGCGCCGTCGTTCGTTGCACAAGGAGCGCCAAAAGAAAGAACCCTTCGCGAAAAGGACCTGGGGGACCTCGAGCCCAGTCCAAAACCAAACCAATCATTATTTCAAAGTGCGGTGGCAATATATCTAGCGCGGCCGACGCTGCATTAAAACGGGCCTTCGGCGGCGAGCCATGGGGGAAATAACAAGGGGCGGTCTTTCTCAGAAGGCTCGGAAATCCCCAGGCCTTGTGAGAAGCTTTCTATGCTTTACCCGAAGACACAACAAACTTTTCAGAAAGCGCGAGGGTTTCTGAAAAGTCCTGCCGCCTTCTGAGAGGGCCTTTTCCTTTTCACTTCTCCCCTCGTTCGCCGCCGAAGCCTGCCCAAACAGCCCGGACCGATTCAACTGTCTGGCAAAATCTTGCGCCACCGCTGATCTGGCCCGCGATGCGCGGTCAAGAAAGATCAGGCCAACCTCCCTGAGGATGCAGAGAAATCGCGGGACCAGGGGATCCGCGGGAGGTCTCCCGATGATCCGCGCAACGGTGACCTGTGAGGATCCAAGTCCTCGCCCCGCCGACCGGGAAGCGGGGGTGAGGAGTGAGGAGGGGCGAGCGGGGACGACTCGGGAGAGGGGGAGGAAAAGGAGGCAACAACAGCAGGAAGAGGGGAAGAGCAGAGGGAGGGG